TGACCTTGGTGCTGCTCCTTCGGCAGCCCATCCTGGGTGGAGGTTAGGTCCTCACCGCCCACCGCAGCTGCTGCTCAAGGCGGGCTGTGGTGATGCCCCTCAGCAGGCCTGGTGGGAAGCTCACGTACCCCCACATCTCAGCCCCTTCCACTTGAGGAGGGTATCAATTTCTCTCACCTGTAGAAACTTCAGATCCCACAGGTCACAGGCTCTGGGATTTACCCCCTCTCCGGGGTGATCTTTCTACAAACCCATAGAAGCATGAGGCACTATCATCTCTCACTCTTGGAGAGTTCTGGACCTTTTCTGGAAGGACCCAGAATTCCCAAACAAAGGCTTGTATGAGGGCAATTTCTTCAGATGCTCTCAAACACGGAAGGAGCTGTTAGCACTTCGTTAGGACTAAAGGAGCCAAGACTTTAGGGAAAAAAGATGTGCCTTTCTCTCTGGTGTAAGGTGTTGGGGTCTATGAGAATAAAGCATAAATTTAAATAAGCTGACATATTTATAAACTATCAAGCACACGGTAAATATTCCAAGGGCATCATTAGTTTGCTGAATACCCCCTCATTTGAGGGTAGGTGAACAGAGACACCTACTAAGATATAGCTTATTAAAAAAGGGAAAGGGCTATTTCCAAAGACTCTGAAAAGGAGCAGACCTCTGAAACAGATTTACTAGAGGAAACAAAAGAAAAATTCAAGATATCTTTGATTACAAGAAGACATGGTATCTATGAATTACAGGAAACCACACACAGAAAAGACTCAGATGAAAAGTTATCAAGATTATTTTTTAAAGAAAATTTTATTTAGAAATATGTGCATTTATCCTACATAGTTCATTACTTTCTTAGGTAGTTCTGCCATATAATAATTTATTTTTTTGAGGAAGGTTAGCCCTGAGCTAACATCCACCGCCAATCCTCCTCTTTTTGCTGAGGAAGACTGGCCCTGAGCTAACATCCATGCCCATCTTCCTCTACTTTATATGTGGGATGCCTACCACAGCATGGCATCCCAAGGGCTGCCATGTCCGCACCCAGGATCGGAACTGGCAAACCCCAGGCCGCCGAAGCGGAATATGTGCTCTTAACTACTGTGCCACCAGGCCGGCCCCCCATATAATAATTTTTTTAGTAAATTCTTAGTAAAGTATAGCATGCATTTTGAAAAGTGAACAAATTTTAAGTGTGTAGATTAATAAATTGTTGTAATATCTATCCAGTAGCACCATGGAAGCCCAGTTTTATTCCCAATCTCGGTCACTCTTCCCCACATAGATAAGAATTATATTGATTTCTAACACCATAGCAAGATGGTTCCTTATGAAACTAAACACAATTTTACCATACAATCCAGCAATCATGCTCATTGGTATTTACCCAAAGGAGTTGAAAACTTATGTCCACATGAAAACGTGCACATGATGTTTATAGCAGCTTTATTCATAATTGCCAAAACTTGGAATCAACCAAGGTGTCCTTTTTTTTTTTTTGAGGAAGATTAGCGCTGAGCTAACTACTGTCAATCCTCCTCTTTTTGCTGAGGAAGGCTGGCCCTGAGTTAACATCCATGCCCATCTTCTTCTGCTTTATACATAGGACACCTACCACAGCATGGCTTTTGCCAAGTGGTGCCATGTCCGCACCCGGGATCAGAACCAATGAACCCTGGGCCGCCGAGAAGCAGAAGGTGCGAAGTTAACCACTGTGCGACCGGACCAGCCCCAAGGTGTCCTTCAGTAGGTGAATGGATAAATGAACTGCAGTACGTCCAGACAATGGAATATTATTCAGCACTAAAAAGAAATGAGCCATCTAACCATGAAAAGACATGGTGGAAACTCAAATGCATATTACTAAGTGAAAGAAGCCAATTTGGAAAGGTTACATACTATATGAGTCCAACTAGTTCTAGAAAAGGCAAAACTATGGAGACAGTAAAAAGGTCCGTGGTTGCCAGGGTTGGATCAGGGTGAGATGAAAAGACAGAGCACAGAGAATTTTTAGAGCAGTGAAAATACCGTATGGTGTTATAATGATGGAGACGTGTCATTATACATTTGTCTAAGCCCATAGAATGTTCAACACTAAGAGCGAACCCTAAGGGAAACACCCTATTGACTTTCGATGATTATCATGTGTCAGTGTAGGTTCATCCTTGGTAACAAAGGTACCATTCTGGTGAATGATGTTGGTAATAGGGGAGGCTATGCATGTGTGGGGGCAAGAGGTATATGGGAGATCTCTGTATCTTCCTCTCAATTTTGCTATAAACCTAAAACTCCCCTAAAAAAATAAGATCTTAAAAAAAGTTAGTGAGATTAGATATGAAGAAAGATGAGATAAGAATGGATGGCAAAAAACAGAATCAGAGGATTAAACTCCATCATGGAGGTGGAAGTAAGCAAAATTGACAGTATAGAAAATAGAATTAGTGGCTTGGAGGTTAATCTTGAGGGGATGTATAGGAAAAATATTGAGTTAGAAATGGTAAGAGAAAGGGAAGAGTTACTGAAACAAGAGATAGATACTGAGAAAAAGAAAGGGAATCCAATTTAAGAATTATAATACTACTAATGAAAAATACCAGAACAATAGAAACAGACGTGATAAAAACTTTATTAGAGAAAACATTTCTAAGCTGGAAAGAGTCCAAAGTATATAGATTGAACGGACTCGCATATTTCAGATGGAATCAATTAAAAAATCCTACACCTAGACAACAATTTTGAATTATAAGGACAAAAGATAGTCCTACAAATATCCAGGTAGGAAATAGCCACCCTTCAAAAAACAAGTTATTGAAGAACAAATGCCAGATTGACTTCTGACCTCTTCATAGTACTAACTGTCAGAAAACCAGGGAGAAGCATCTGAAAGAATTTTATACTCAGTCAACTTGACTTCCACGTGTAGTTGACCTCTCTTCCTAACACTTCCTGATTTTCTTACCAAATTTCCCCCACATCACAAAGTATAGCAATGAGACTGAGGACTGCCCCAAAAAAGTAGTTATAGTTTATCCACCATGCTAAGTTAGTTCCTTGATGAGGTTCTAATGTTACATCTAAAAGTCTATTTTGTGCTCTCATTTTGCTTTTTTCTCCAACGATCTGCTCATCTGGCAGCAGTAGTGTTGTTTGCTGCTGAGAAAAGAGGTCTCGCCCCCAGTGACATCTTTAACCTCACCTCTCCCACTTCAAGGGTGGTCCTATTGTCTTCCTTGCCAGTGGGAATTTACATTTTGTGGGCGTAGTGTTTGCTCAGGTGGAAGAGCTCATCCCAAGTCTTTGCTCCTTAATTTCATTCCAAATGCCAAGACTTTAGTTTATAAATCATATCGGAAAATATAGACTACTAGAGTTAAAAGGACTTTGTGTCTTCTTGTCTAGCATCCTCTGTCTACAGGCGAGGAAACAGGGACGAAGAAAGATGCCATCACTTATTTCAAGTCACAGATTCAGATACTGCTTGAGTTGAGACTAACTAGGCTCCTGTTTTTCTGTATCCACAACCAGCCAGACTGATGGGCGAGATCTGTTGACCGGCTCACTCGAGCCAGTCTTCACAGTGAGGAAGAGGCTCATGAAGGCCACAGCCCAAAGCCCATGGAATGGCCAAATGCAAAGCGAATGCCCACTAATCAAAAGGCCAGTGAATTTCCCACAGGAAGTGGAGACAGACCTTCCACATGGAACCTTGAAGCAACTGAAAACCAAGGTGTTTCAACTGAAAACCAAGTATGAGAAGAGTCTGAGGACGTAGGTGATGGGCCTCCAGCCAGTTCTTCAGAGTTCTCCAAAGTTTTAACTTTTAAGGGCTCTAGTAACAAGAACATTTTCCTTCTAAACAAGCAGACTTGGCTCATGATACCTGACATTCCAACACTGACCAAATTCAGATCACAGCCTGTGATTCAAGACCACAACCTGCTTTGGCAGATTCCATAGCTTTTCTACTTGGTACTTGGGTGGGTCAGGAACTCAATAAGATGCAAAAGAGAGAAGCCTCACTCAACCAGTTTAATTAAACAAACAAAAAGAAGCAAGAAATTGGTCTATATAACCAAATACCAGGAAGGCTGGGAGTAGGCGGTTGGTCCTAGGATTAACTTCTCACGTGGTGGGGAATGTGGCTGCTCGGGTCTGTGGGCCAACACCAACCCCACTTAGAGTAAGGGGAGGAAAGACGGCATCTCTCACCTGACATCAGTATACGAAATTCCCAGGGGGGACACTAAGGGACTAATAACTGTGGCCAGGGAGGTGGCTCATCCTGGTTCCACGCTCGCCTGTCTGTTGAGGAGCACATTCTGTCATCAGTTAAAGGGAGTGGGCAGGAAATGAGTCCAGAGCAGGTGTAAACAATAGCCATTGTTTCTGTTGTCATCTGTAGCAGGTTTCAGACAGTGCGTAGATGATGGCGATAGCATGCTCTCTTCCTGTTGTTACTGCCATCTTGTATTTCCAAGAAAGGAGGAGAGCAATTAACAATTACCCTCCTCTGCCTTTCCTTCTCCACCATCACCAGCCCCACTTCTGGAAGGTGTAGGACACTATCTCCTGGTCAGGAAGGATGGCTGAAGAGCACAAGTACTTAGCACCCTGCACCAAGGACCTAGGAGTCCACTGTGCTTTGTGGAGGATCTCTGTTCTCTACCATGCTCTACTCTCTCTCAGAGCCCCTTCCGGGGGTCTTGGTGGTGCTCTCTCCCCTCCTCTGGACATGATCGTCACCAGCAGGGAGGGCAAGAGAGTAGGTCCACTTGGTACCAAGCAAGAAACAGACAGAGCAGGAGGAGACACCCAGGCTGGAGTCTCCGAGATGACGCCCTTGTGCTCCATCAGGCGGGCGGTGTCAGTAACCCAGGTCACCCTTGGCTCTGTCATTATCCAGCTGGCTGGTGCAACTTGAGCGAAGCCAAAGCTGTCACCTCCAAAGGAGAAGGCCCTCTCGTCAGCTCCTCGACTTCATTTCTGTTTTTTATACTCCACAGGCCCAGTCTAAACAGTAAGGCTTGCATTTATTGAGCATTCACTCAGTACCAGGCGCTTTACACAGTTTATACCAATATCCTGAAAGGTAGGTATTTCTATTAACTGCCTTTTAGAGGTAAGAAAATCAGGGCTCAGAGAAGTTAAGTAACTCGCCTAAGATCATACAGCAGCAAATGCCAAGTTTTGATTCAAAATCAAATCGTCTGACCCCAAAGTCCAGGCTATTTCCACCACACCAGGCTGCCTCTCAGAGCAACCAGATGAAAAAGGCTGATGGTCCCAGCTCAGGGACTTCTTGTCTTGCTTCCCCAATCTTCTCAGTTGAATTTTAGGGTCTTACCTGGGGCCCTAGCAGAATAAATTTTGGATTTTGCAGAAATATCCCCTAATTCCATTTGACGGCTGGGACAGGCACCTCACTCACAGGTGGGCCATCAGGAAAGGATGGTTGGGGTGCTCATGGCTGTGGCTCCGGCTGGAGGAGGAGAGGTTTGCAGCCTCCCTGGATGGCTGTGGCAGAGGGGCCAGAAGGAAATCTGGGGACATGGTGTAGGGCTGGAGAAAAGAGCAGAAGATGGGGACACACGTGGGGAGGCGGGCTTCTGAGGCTTGTGCAGGGTTCAAGGGAAAGGCTGCTCAGTGAATAAACAGACGCCAAATCCCTCTGTTTGCAGGAGGAAGCCAGACATGGAAAACAGCCCTCCTACCCTAAACAATTCTCAAGTACACCCCACATCCTGAGACAGCATAGAAGACCAAATAAACAGAACAGCCTGCTACACATGCAGTGAAGGTAGAAAAGCTCATGGTAAACCTGGGGGAATTCATTCATTCAAACCTGCTCTGTGGAAGTTGTTTTGGAAGAGTGACTACCTGGGGGCCAGGGTGGCGGGAAATCTGCTGGCTTCTCTGGCTTTGTCACAACCTGGGGGCACAGAGCTGCGGTGTGCAAAAGAGGAGTCGCACTTGGGTCTGTGGTTTGTGGTAGGGAGAGGAGGCTCCTGGGTGACTGCCCCCGTCCTCTCATCTCTGGGCCCCAGCCAGAGCTGGCACTTGTCACACAATGTGTGAAGCAAGTGACTCTTGAAAGACATCAGGAGAGGGGCAGTGACTAGGGGAGGGGACCGTTGGCCAGTGGGTCCTCGTGGACAGGAATTTTATGTTCCTCTGATTGTTGTGCTTTGAGGACTCCTGGGATCTCAAAATCGACAGTTTTCTCAAGGGAGTCATAGCAGCCTCAAAGACATCCTGCTAAAACAAAAATTAACTCTAATTCGAATTCACTCAATTTAAAACACGAGTATGCGCCATCTGGCATTTTTATGAATAAGAGGGAATGTTGCAGAAACAAGTGATGAAAATTTCAAGGTTCCAAAAAATATTGGGAAGTCAAGAGTTTAGGGTTATAAGGATTCTGGAAAACCCTCTACTGGGATAAGTGTTTCTAGTGCATCACTGCCGGCTATGGAACGTGACGTAGAAGCACTTCCAGACCCGACACTCATGCCCCCTGCTGACGGGGAAGCCCACCTCACCTCTCCCAGGGGAGGCAGCACATGGACTGTGACCTCCCTCTTTATAAAAGTGCTCAGGGGACCGAGATTTCCCAAGAAACTCTTTATTTCCCAAACTCTTAAAGGTATTTAATTAATTTAATTTTTTATTTTTTTAAAAATGGAGCCAGACTCTATTACAGATGGTGACGTCACATTTAAGTATCTGCATTTTTTTTAAAGATTGGCCTTGAGATAAAATCTGTTGTCAATCTTTCTCTTTTTTTTTTGTCCCCAAAGCCCCCCAGTACATAGTTGTATATTCTAGTTGTAGGTCCCTCTGGTTGTGCCATGAAGGATGCCACCTCAGCATGGCCTGATGAGCAGTGCCATGTCCGCACCCAGGATCCAAGCCAGCGAAACCCTGGGCCACCGAAGCAGAGTGCAGGAACTTAACCACTCGGCTACCGGGCCGGCCCCTAATTTAATTTTAATTTCAAATGTATTTAATACCTGTTTGCTTAAATCAGACCTTTTGCTTAAGGGGCGGCCAAAATTGGACAGAGGAAAAACCTGGAAAATCATTCTATATTTAGAGAAACGTGGGAGAAAAGAAATGATAAAGAAACAAGGAGAAAACAACAAAGAAGCTATATGCTGTTGCTCTGCAAAGCACCTTGGGTGAAATGGCTGTCTCCAGAGAAGTTTGTCACTAAAAGCTTTCTGGGATCAAATAAACCTGGAGACTGACAAACCATAATCCCACTCGGAGATGCCCGGTGCTTGAGAGCATCCTGAAGGCTTGGACGGATGCTGCGGTGAGGAAACCTGGCTGTTTATCTAATCCAGCATTTCCCAGACTAACCCAAAAGCTCATGCTGCCTGCACAGCTGCACTTTACCGTATGGAAAGAGTAAAGGAGGGAAAAAAAATGAACATAGATGAGCCGGACTGAAATTTTAGAAAGGAAATTCTAACAGAACTGGGACATGTATTATGCATGATTTAATTCTGTGTAATGTTAGCTGTCCATAGAGAGCGAGGACAGAAATAGTTCCAACAGATATGAGCCAAACACCTTTTCCTAGAACAGGACAATTAGAAGGATGCCTTCTTCTATCCGAGCACAGAACCAAGGCACAATGGAAGAAATAGAACCAAATGGAAGCGATTATAATAATCAGCCAGTTCAAGGCTTACTGATGGAATGAGGGTACACCAAAACAGCCCTCCTTGGACCACACAGACACACAAAGACTAGACCCAACCGCTTCCCTGATACCAGCGCTGGTGCTAGAAATAAACCCACAGACATTAGCATTTTGTGCAGGAGAAGGCCAAGTCAAGATGGAGGCAGAGAGTGGGGCGATGCAGTCACCAGTTAAGGAATGCCTAGAGCCATCAGAAGCTGGAAGAGGCGAGAAGGATCCTCCCCCGGGGCCTTGAGAGGGAGCCTGCCCCTGCTCACATCTTGATTTTGGACTTCCGGCCTCAGAATGGTGAGAGAATACATTTCTATTGTTTAAGCCCTCCAAAAACAATAGTAATAATAATAGAGGAGGTTTTATCTTTGTAAAATCAAAATTCACTCATTCATTCATTTAACACAACTGATGGATTGCCTCTAAGTGCCAGTGAGGGCTGAGGGTGCAGAGTGAGCAGGCTGGGGTCCCCACTGCGTCCGTGCTCATCATTGGCCAGAGGAGAGATGGGAAGAAAGAGCTACAGGGCACTGTGCTGGGCTCCTTCATAGTGTGATGGCCAGAGCCGCTGGACTGAACCCAGACTGCGATGGCCCCAGGGTAGCTTATCCGTTTTGATCCCTACAGCGATTAAACACTGCTATCTCAGTCACCGAGGCAAACCAACAGATGGCGGTTTAATTGTTTATAACACCAAACGTTAACTACAGGGCTTGGCAGTCTCTCTCTCATCCTGAAGGTTCTGGAAGCAGGTATCAGACAGCACTCTGGAAAAAGGTAAAACGTGGACACTCAGAATTCAGCTCAGGCGCGCCCTGCTTTATAACTTCTGTCAAACTGCAACATGGAGACTGTGTCAGAGGAGCACTGGACAGAATGATGAAGGGCTTTCAATTGCTTCTTAAATAAATGGTAAAAGAGGAAGCTACTCACAGAAGCCGTCTCTGGAGATGCAGTGTTTCTATCAAGCTACAAGTGTCGGCCAAAAATGTGTTTGGGAAATTTGGTCTCCTTCCCAAAGGGAATGTGTAGTCTCCTTGCTCCCAGCCACATTTGAATGTTGCCTGCCTTGTCGCCTGGGCAGCTTCCCCTGGATACCAGCACTATCCATTTTAATATAGCACTAATTGCAGTGATGGGCAGGGCACTTATGTCTACTAATCAGGTCAACACCACTTGGCCTAATCTTCTAAAATGGACTACAAGCCATTACTAAGCCGTGGAAGTCTCCAACTGTGCATGCAGCTGTAGAGACACCTGCAAACAGGAGGCAGCAGCCAGCAGAGAGTTGGCAAAGGCACCTTGCGGTCCAGCTGTCACCAGCATTCCCGAAGAGCCGTTTCAAAGGTCGCCATTTGCATCCAGCTGCCTCTCAGAGGTGCTGCTATTTACACATTGCGGGAGCTGGACAGCCAGCCCACTTCAGAAGGACCCAGGCTGAAGCTTCCACTCTAGGTTTAGGAAGTATGTGCTGACAAATTCTGTGCACAGAGCCCTGGCAGGCTTCCCGGCCCTCCGAGTGCGGAACCTTCAGCTCCCAATGCAATTGTCCTTCCCCTGCAGCCTCTTTATTCTCCTCCTGGACTCAGCTGAAATGTCACATACCCAGAGAGGTCCCTGACCCGCCTCTACCCCAGCGAACTTCCATCCTTCCTGTTGGTTTCCTTCGCAGTTATCACCATCTGTAATCATTTCTATTTCTGTTTCTTTTCTTGTTTGCAGTCTGCCCTCCCCAGCTGGAAAGCAAGCCCTAGGACGGGGAAAAAAAAAAGTCCTCTCATGTCACCTCTGTATTTCCCACAGCACAGACTGGCCGTGTTGATTGAATAAAAAAATGATGTGACAATGGTATCAGAGACAATTTTGAATGAAATAGAAAAAGGAAGACTACCGGCCAGTTTTGACCATAGACACTCATTTATTTTTGCTCTCTCTTAGCAGTCAAACAACTGACAACTTCTGGATCTAAGTGGACCAGAATGTTGAGGCAGTCTCCTGAGAAGGCATCCATCAGGTTCTTGAGTGTTGACCCGAGCCAGAGGGACTCATGCATTCCAGGTGGTGCCTTCCACCTTGTCATCCTGAACCAGGTGTCCACAGAGACCAAGAGTAAGGGATGGATATACAAACACATAATAGCTGACAGGAGCGTCTCCAGAATCAAGAGGAGCCCAGAGCTGAGAGCAGTCTGCCTGCAAGGCAAGCAGGCAATTCTGTGATAGTTGCCTGGAAGGGCCGGAGAGTCAGGGAGAGTTTAAGGGCTGAATGCCACACTGTTTTAAAGATTACTAGGGGCCGGCCCGGTGGCATAGTGATTAAGTTTGCATGCTGTGCTTTGGTGGCCCAGGGTTGGTTTGTGGGTTTAGATCCTGGCCAAGGACCTACACATTACTCATCAAGCCATGCTGTGGTAGTGTCCCACATACAAAATAGAGGAAGACTGGCACAGGTGTTAGCTCAGCAACACTATTCCTTAAGCTAAAAGAGGAAGATTGGCAACAGATGTTAGTTCAGGGCCAATCTTCCTCACCAAAAAAGAAAAGAAAAGAAAAGAAAAGAACGATTACTGGTCCCCAAAGTAGCACTTCATCCTGCATCTTGGGATTTTCTGGGGCCCAAGTAGCAGGAACCCACTCCAAAAGAAATGATTAAGGTCCTCTAGTTGAGAACTTCCAATTTGCCATGTTTAGCTAAAGTTAGGGAGGGAATGGGAACATATCTGTGGAAGACAGAGAATGAGCAGCTACTTATGAGCAAGTATTTTTATATCCTCAGAAAACCAGCAAGTCAAGCAACTAGATTAACATTGATCTATCCATCTATCCATCTGTCCGTCCATTATCCGGTTGGCATATTGTAATGGACTCAGGGCACTATTCTAGACCCTGGGGATACAGAGAAAAAAGACTCACCCCTGCCTTTGAGGAGTTCATGGTCTAGTTGGGCAGACAGGCTTCTAAACAGATGGATACAGCACAGCGATCTGTGCTGGGACAGAATCTGTACTGGGAACGAGGAGCACAGAGGAGGAAGCCCACAACCCCTCGGCTGTGCCAAGGAGGTGGAATTTGAGCTGATCGTTGAAGGAGGACAAGGAGTTTTCCAGGTGGAGAAAATGGGGTGGACTCTTTTAGACAGAGAAACAAAAGCAGATAGACGTGGGAGAATCTGGATATTTTAAGACCCACAGCCATTTCATGTAGATGGAACGTGAGGCATGGAGGAGAGCTGTGGGGCTGAGGCTGGACCAGGGATTGGCCTGATAGTGGGACCCCTCGGGTGCCTCACCAGGAAGCTTGAGTTCCATCTTCTTCTCAGTGCAAAGTATCTGGAAAAGACCTGCATGACTAGATTTTTCTTTGTTTTACACACACACACAAGATAGACAAATTTGGGTGGAAGAAAATGTCCAGAAGAACACAGGGTTGGAAGTCTTGTTTGATAACATGTCATGAAAGATGCCAAATAAGTCTGGACTTTACTTTCTAGACCAAATGTCCAGATCTCAGATGCCTTCGGAGGCCTGATAAGAAGCAAATGTGTGAAGTTTTTGGGTGTGATTGTCCTGTCTAAAGAATTCAGATTCAAAAATGTCAAAAACGCTGTTTGCTAACCGATCACAGGAGTGGATGACATGACTCTACTCTGAGCTTGGGATCCCTGGGGTAGGAAATGAGGAGTCATGGACGGGTTTGTATGCGGGGAATCATAGCAGACGCTGTTGGTGCTGTCTGCCCAGATCCCATTGGTCTGCCCTGGAGCTCTTCTGCACATAGTTCCCCTCAGGCTGCTGGCTTCCTGCACCTCTCTGCCTGAGAGCATTCTCTGGCCAAGGAGGAGTGCCTGGCCACATATGTGGCAGCCTAGAAGTGTCAGAGCATTACTGCCCCAAGAGCAGCCCTTGACCAAAGAAGGACAGGAATAGTTGGATAAACACCTCCGCTTCCTTGCTCCTTGATGGGCCAATGCTGCAGTCTACACAGTTTCTCAAAGGGTCCCCAGCAGAATGGAGCCTCAACTGCCCACAGCAGTACCTCACTCATTGATGCAGCTTTATGGGCCGTCTTAGGAGGGTTACCTGGAAGACAGACCCTGAAGTGAAAACGTGCCTGCAGGAAGTTTATTGGGGAATCCCCTTGAGACAAACACCTGTGAGGGAGAGAGGAAGCAGGAGAGAGTTGTTGAACTGCAGTGCAATTACAGCCTCAGAAGATCCCACAGGAAGCTCTGGAGTTAGGCCAGCCCTTCAGAGTTGACCCACTTGAGACCAGGATGGAGGACAGGCCGTTATAGCCACATGTTGACTTGTCAATGGATGTGGGCTGCCCCTAGGGAAGAACGTGAGGTGAGGCTGCTCTCCTCTGCTGAGACAGGTCCCTGGGGAGGGACTCAGCTAAGAGCCATCAGACACCATACCCCAGCAGCTAGGAGGATAGCAGGCCTGCAGGGGGATCTGGGCAGTGCAACACAACATCCACTGTGTAGGCTTTCCTCCCTTCCCTCCCTTCTCACTCTCTCACCATCTTGAGGTCATTTCCCAAATGAACCACCTCCCAAATGAACCCAAATTCTTGTCTCAGGGTCTGTTTTTGGGGAAACCCCAACAAAAAGAGGAATCGTCTGATCTGCGCTTTTGTTTAAGAAACCCAATCTGGTAGCAGTGCGTAAAATAGATCGGAGGGCTGAGAGACAGACTAAATAGACCACAGAAAAGATGATATCGGTTGTCCAGGGAAGAGGGATTCAATGAAGAGGATGCCTAGGGGAAACAAGAAAAGGGATGGAAGTGAAATGGCCATCAGTGAAAATAAGGCATGCAGAAAAAGGAATAGTATGCAGGTGAGAGAAGTTACTTTGGTTTCAGAAATTGTGCACTTGAGGTGCTGGTGTGCTATCTGGGTGGAATTTTCCACCAGGCAGGTGGATATTCAGGTCAAGAGATACAAACTGAAGAGTTGGGTATATGGCAGTGGTAGTTGAAACAATGGAAAAGATTGTTAAGGGAGAGAGTACAGAAATGGAGAAATCAACTAACAATCTCTGAGTATCTACAGTGTGCCAGACACTATGCTAGGCTGAGGGCAAGTCCTTAGGAAAGACCAACATTTACAAGATTAAAAAAGGAGGCAGATTGTTGAGAACAGCACTCAGCAATGGCGAATACCAGGTCCACCAAATACCACTCTTCCTTTCTCCACCACTGCAGACATCACTAGTTGATCACGACGATTTTCTCCACAGTGCTTGAACTTGCCTGCCAATCCTTCCCAAGGCTCTGCTCCAGGAAGGAGCAGTAATTAATGAGACTTGGCCCTTGAGTGAAAAACTGTTTGCTATCCTTGGAGTCATGGAAGCTAAGAGAAGAAAGGCTTGCACAAAAGAGAGGGTGAGTGGGAGGCATTTTCAATTCTAGAGAGGCAGAAGAGAACAAAGCCTGAAAAAAGCCAGCTGGGCTGAGGAAATAAAAGTCTTGTGGACCGTGGAGAACAGCTTCAGGAGAGCAGCAGGATAGCACTCCGAGGGCAGGATGGCAAGCAGATGCTGGCATTTCCACCTGCTGCCTGCTCAAGGGAGCACTGTACCAGGAGCCGGGAAGTTTAGGCTGTAATCGCCGAGTTCTTAGTAACCCACTGTGATGCCATAATCTTTATCTCGAGAAATAAAAATAATTAGGTTTGGAGAAGCAGTTAACAATTACGTTTTCTCTCTGTGGATAAAACTTTACTTAATTTTCCAAACCTGTTTTAAGGATACAATAAAATCTTATTTCCAAGATGCATTAGGTTGGCCCATATGCAGTATGCATTTGGTTTGCATATTCCACAACTGCATTTGGAGGACATTGGAAAAGCTTTCAAAAAATCCCCAAATGCAAGTGGCTGCCGATGCTGGAAAAGCATTTGTCAACAATATCTTCTGCTTTCTATATTTAAGACATTTGGCATAGAACACATGAGACAAAACCAGAGATGGCCTGGCGATGGCTTGGCAGAAGGAAATGGACAATGCAAAGGATTCAGTCCCAGGAATCATCTTGGCTCTGGCTTTAGCTTGGGTTTGACCCAGGGTGAGTTGCTTAACTTCTGTAGTGTTTTGTGTCTTCGTCTGGAAAATGTGAGTCCTGGCCCTGGGTGCTCTAGCTGAGAGAAAGTCTATGATTCATCTCTGGCCAATCCACCTTTACCCTCAAATTCATCAGACGCAGTCCTCATCAATAATTTATGTACACCTGCAGGTCAGTTCTGCATAGCATCAAATTTCCCTTCCTTGTTCTGCTTCCAGTTGAATTAAAACTCCCTGTCCCCTGCCATCTCATGACACCACCCAAAGTCTGTGAGTTTTAGGGGTCAGAGTTGCTGACATCTAAGGTGCTTTCAAAGCCCAGCATTTCCAGGAAGGCACCATCAATGTTAAGTGCTGGCAGATCTCTGGATTTCTTAGTATTCTCAAAAATGTGCAAGCTCCCTCGTGCTGTGTGCCCACGAGCAATTTGGATATACCTGCAGATCTGGTTACTGTATCAACTGGGCCACATCCAAAGGCCACAACACTCTGCTTCCTGCATTTCAAGTGTGTTCTTACTGAAAATTCTGAGGAATACCTAAAGAATTAAGCCAACTTCTGGTCAAAACCATTAAAGTCATTGGGTAAACTTGAAGGAAGAACACCGTATTGGATTGTTAGTATTACTCCAAATAATGAATCAGAGATAAGGATTTTGTGTCGGCCCATGCATTTCTTTGAATGTTGTGCAGTAAAGAGCTATGAAAGGACCCAGAGCAAAGGGGAAGCATCCAGACTCCATCCAGAAATGAGCATCCTTCAGAGCTGATACCTTAGCCCAGGGA